GTTGGAGTTGATCGTCTAATTATTTCGTTATCAAGATGATGATTAAAGGTCCAGGATAGGTGGCAGTCATTTATAGCTCGACCAGGGGAATACGCTAAGAGAGGTAAGAAATCTTGCCCAGCTCCAGAATTTCTTACCGGGCTCATTTCGGATCATGGTGATTCGCAATGTCATGAAAGAAATGAATATTGTCGCGGTACGAGGGCTCTTGACGAGCTGCCTCGGCCAGCTTCTGGTATTCCGCAGCCTAGACCTCTACCTACACAATGGTGCCCATAACGAAGAATTTGTAGTGGAGCTTCTGTAAGAGCCCTACCTGTAATGGAGTGTGAGGGACGCTGCTGGCTTCTTATAAAAATATCAAAAGATCGAAAGCGCTGGTAAAGGTGAAACACGCTGTAGCGGTGAACGACATGCCTATTGAAGCTATTGCAGATAGTGTTGGTCTTTGACACGAATCCATAGTTATGGAGACATTTGTACTAGACAGTGACTCGGAGTATGGATTTACTAGTGGTCGAGGTTTTTTGAATTTTCTTGGATAACTACTGACTGCAGCACTTATATCCACCTCGTGGATTAAAGCCTCGAGAATGCTCTACCATTTGTTAGTCATAAATGTTACCTATGAATTTTTCAGAAAAAAAGAAAATTTTAGAAAGAGTGTGCAGAATTTTTAAACCTAATAATTATAGCAGTTATCCTTTTTTGTATTCTGCCAGTACCGCCTTATTCCTGATTATTCAATTAAGACGTACTGTATTCTCTCGATATGCGATGATTCTCCTTCCCAAGAGCTGACTATTATGCGGTCGAATATATATATATATATATATATATATATATATATATATATATATATATATATATATATATATATATATATATATATATATATATATATATATATATATATATATATATATATATATATATATATATAATATATATATATATATATATACCAGTTTTGCTCCGCCCGCTATCGCGCGCATCACACGGCAGGCTTTAGCGAAACTGGAGGACCCATGGAATATCAGCATGAGGTACTCCATTAACCACCTCACTATTGAATGTGTTAGACCTTTCCCAGTTTCGCTGAAGTCCATCGAGAATACGCGTGATAACGTCTGGAGCTGAACTGGTATTATCTCACAACTGTAAACATCCAGCATTCTTCTTGAATTCAGATAATTTAGCGGTGAATAGGATTGCTGTCAGTCTCAAAATGAAAATGAAATATGCCTATTTACATAAGTGAGGAGCTAAGGCTTATCATTTATTTACATTCACCATTATTTAGAACCCCGAAAGGATTAGTTTGGGCTTTCTTGATAGAAATGAAAGTTATCATTTGCTGAAGACTTGATTGAGTTTATGCAATCGACTGCTATTAAGTAAGCTGGTCATACAATGATACAATGTGCACGTACCACTACAAATAGAATTTGTAAGTAGGGACGCTCTAGTGTCAGCGCAACGGAATCGACGACTTTTGCGTTCTGACGCGCCTTATCAGCCTTATCAGTTGTTATCACTTTCAATCACCCACCAACAATGTCCCCGTCCCACCCCACATAACACTTGTAAGTATGGTTGCTCTGGTGTCAGGTAACGGAATCGACGACTTTTGCGTTCTGACGCCCTTATCAGCCCTTATCAGTTGCTATCGCTTTCATCACCCACCAACCAATGTCCCGTCCCACCCCACATAACACTTGTAAGTATGGACGCTCTGGTGTCAACGCGAGCCAGGTAACGGAATCGACGACTTTTGCGTTCTGACGCGCCTTATCAGCCCTTATCAGTTGTAATCACTTTCAATCACCCACCAACAATGTCCCCGTCCCACCCCACATAACACTTGTAAGTATGGACGCTCTAGTGTCAACGCGAGCTGGTAACGGAATCGACGACTTTTGCGTTCTGACGCCCTTATCAGCCCTTATCAGTTGCTATCGCTTTCATCATGTACCACCAATGTCCCGGGACCACCCCACATAACACTTGTAAGTATAGACGCTCTAGTACCAATATGAACGACAAAACGAAATTGGCGATGCTCGCTTTCTAGCCCCTCTTATCAGCTATTATCAGTCGTTATCAGTTCCTATCACGTACCACTTGTGTCCCCATCCCACCCCCTATAACATATGTAAGAACCATGGCGCTATCGTTGCTGTGACTCGAGCTATGAATTTCGTGACAAACACACACACACACACACACGCACAGACATACTTAGCGAATTATATATAGTAGGATACATAATGCACTAAATCGATTCCTATTTCAATTACAGGTCTCTATACCGCCCTTTTTCTAGCTGATAAAGTAAAATATAAGTTGTGATGACGAAAATGGTGTAGTGGTACCGCTTACACGCGTACTTTCGAGTATGCAATCCAGGGCTTTTGTATTCAACCCAGGCCGAGTCAGCTTTTATCTCCCAGGGTTCAGCAGAATGATACCAGACCGATTAACCGTTACTAATCACATGGTTCGGAAACCAAATCTCACAACAACGCGCTATTCTTGCCCTGAAACCCGATGTTCTAACTTGAGAACCATATGCGCGTCGAGAGCAGATCACACACCATCCCGACAGCCTACAACTGAACCTAGTAACTAGCGATTCATAATGATAGCTGACAGCCGGCAGGTGATGGATGTAATTAGTGATAACTGATTAAACACTACTGCTATTGGCTATCATTTCTTTGGCAAAAAACATTTGCATTTCGTGAACCCTTGCCACTTGTGTTGTGTGGTCTGCACTCAACGAACATCTTGCTTTCGGAAACAAGGTATCTGTGATGTGGAAAACCACTGAATACTGAATACTTCCCAATCACATGATTATCGAGTGCCACTAATCGGTTCTCAATATTCTCCACGTTTACTACCACTTGTCTCTCTCTTTTCAGTTCTGACGATGAGAGCCAGAAATACACAGCACTCCAAGCAAAGGCTATTTCAGGGTTCACCGTTTGCTAAAAAAAACTCCTAACAAAAGCAGTTGCATTCGTGATATTTTGAAGAGACTGGGTTTTTTTTTGAGTGAAGTTGGCATCCTAGTTTTGGGAGAGATGGGAAAGGGTTTTCTTTTCGAAATTTGAAATATTTCTCATAAAATTTAAAGGTATCGAAACTCTCGCAATATACGCCGTTCGAACACTTTTATGAGTATGTCAAATAATCGTCAACGAATGTTTTATTGAAGGTTTAGGGTGGTCGAAGATATGGAATAATCAAAAGTGCATAGTTCAAGGAGAAGCGCGGAAGAGCAAGCGAGAGAAGAGAGGAGGGGTTATGAGAGAAACGGGCCACCCTTTGTTAGTAATTTGCCGGCGCTTCTATGGGAGTTCTGGATGGAAGAGGGTCGTCTTTTTGGTTGTGGCCGGAGAAACATATTTAAGATTTTCAGATTTATGAATTGGAATAGTTGCCGTTCAATCGTAGGACCACTAAAACGGGTAAGGAGGTCGTGAAATTTTCTCAGCTCCAGGTTTATGCTTCGCGTAGATTTTTCAAGGGAGACAAGAAGCTGCTCTTTTCAATGCAATATGGCAATGTGCGAGAACCCGTCGAAAATGCATGTGTGAGCGATTTGGGTTCAAATGTATGAATTGATTTCAAACTGTAAACTAGCCATTTTTAATCCCACTTTCATGACCGAAAGTGGAGATTGAGGGAGAAAGACGTTGTCCCAATAAGTGTGCAGAACCCGTGTAGCTGAACTTCATTCTCAAAGCCCTCTCCAGTTTCGATTTGAGGGTGAGCTAAACAAATGAACTCGTAAAAAATATTTATTCAAAACATATATAAAAACAAATGCACATATAAATAAAACTCAGAGGTGAATAAGATACGGAAATCCTCTGTCACAAGGAAGTTCAGGAACTTTCAACAACACAGCACCCCCTCTGAGCAGCCCATCTCTTCCACAAATATTGCATTTCGTCTTTTAATATTTACCGAGCCCATTACTTTGTTTTGTCGTGTTTTATCCTCAATGACTTAACAAAGAGCTTCTAATTCTGCATTTCCTAGGAAGCGTATTCTGTTCAAATTGATGAAAATTGTTATATGACAGGAAAAAGCAGGAGGTAACAAGGAGAGCAAACATGTAGGTGTCATTAGGTCCCGGAAAGCTTTTGGGAGATCATAGGATGGATTCCGAAATCTTGAACTCTGTTAACTGACATTACATGGCCCACGACCCGCACAATAAGCAAACGTCGAAAGTAATTTAAGATCCTCCAGACTATGAACGGAGAATTGCAAAGTTTCCGTATTGGTAAACTCATTCTTGAGGTATCAGAAAGAGTTCATATAATGGAAAAAGTTTATGCGACATTTATCCATATTTGCTGATAGTTGGTAATCGCCTAACTCTGATAAAGAAGGGATTTTCTTAAACGAGTGAAAATAACACTCTTGAGATGGAACCATTTTCCTTGCGGACTCCTTTTTGAACCACAGTTAAGGGTGCTGAGCTGTCCGAGAACTTGGAAAGTAGCCCTACTAGCAAATTGTCTCAGAATATTTTGAAGGTAGTGAGACGATCGAGCAGGAGCTAATTAGGAGGCGCCACTGGGACCACAAACATTTCTCATCCACTGAGATGGGTGTGGTCCGACCGCCTCTTTACGATTTTCACCAATAGTATCTATTAATTAGCTCCGCCCCCAGTCATCACAACAATTGCCTTCAAAAAAGCGTTTCATGCCCGGGCTAACATGTGAAAAAATTGATAAAAACGAACAAAACAAAGGTATTTTTGAGGATCTGTTCTTCTTTTTTTTTTTCAAAGGAAAAAAGGTCAAGCCCGTCACGGTGTTTCAAATCCGTGCTCGAGTTTCGGATCGCAATCGAAACCTTCGACGAAAGCAAGTGTCACTTCGCGACAGCGACCACCGTTGGCGCTCACGCACAAACATCAACAACTGATTTCGCTATACTAAACTGGCATTCGAACGGTGTTGGCTAGTCATGCATCACGGATCGTAAACCTGAGAATTTCAGCTTTCACAAGATTGAGCGGAGATAATAACGGTAGGACTGGATGGCCTCCCACTCAAGTTTACTTTTGTACATTCTTCTGGGACAATGCCGTTGTCTTCCAGCGTATGCTAAAAACTCTTTGTCCCTTGGGGAGGATCCAGCCTTACCCTATCTAGGTCTGTTGTGGAGTCCGAGCTGAACTCACTGGCACCACTGGCATCCTCCATAGTGCGCCGCCCGCCTACGTTTTTACCAACACAACTGTGGTTACGTCTCGCAACGTTCTAGAGGGGTTTGTTGCGCCTCGAAGCGTATTCCGCTAACAGCGCCCACTCCCAGTCCTATGACAATCCAAGCTAGTCCGAACCTAATGTACTCCGGCAAAGCGAGCATGAATCGCCCCGATGACATGCGAACTCAAATGACGTGGCCATGGACCCTAACGTTTACAGGCAAGCCCCAAAGTCACGAATAATGTTTCATGCGACGATAGACGCAAAGCTGGGTGTATCGGAGTGTGATTAGATGGTGCCTCCAATGTTCAGAACACCCCGTAAACTTTTCGGTTGGCAGTGGCGCCCTTATCATTCGGAGTGATAAGGAGCCCGAAATTCCACACTCAAGTTTCAGCAACGGTTCCACAAACAACGACATTACATCACTGTGGACCGGGGCGAAAATAAAGCGTGCTAGGATATTTGATACCGTTATGCGTTATCGGTGTATACCAGTTTTCATCCTGGGATGCAACCGTCTTTATCAAGCAGCCGCAACCTTCGTTATCTCCGATCTCGTAGTTCTAATATCGTCCAAAATGAGCTTACACTCGTCAACAATTACTCCTCTAACCACGCATGACGATGTGATAAACCGGCGAGAGTGCAACATTCCCCAACGGGGCAAAGCCCATCGCTGACTGGCCTTCCCTTCAAACGAAGCGCCAACTGGATTTCCCCGGAAGCATTCGTCCCAACTGTCTGACTCCCGCCCACTTCAACACACCCCAGTCCACCTATTCCCTCCAGTGGAACACCTGTTTCGAAATAGGCGGCCCTTTCTTTTCGAAACCCCGTTTGGTGTCCCCACCAGTCTCCGAGAGAAGAGAGCAGCCGTCGGAGAGAGAGAGGGGGGCGCAGCGCGGAGCTGGAGGTGCAAATCGTTGTGATTCGCTTGGTCGCGTTTGTCCGCGAGCGAGAAAATAATCCCCGTCTTCGCGCGTTCTGAGAGCGTCGCCTTGACTATTGCCCCACAGACGCTCTGTTGAATAAACTAGACGTTGTTTGTTTATCTCTTTTTGATGTGTTTTGATGTTTTGTTGCTATTGATTGTTTTTGTTTGTTTTTTGTATTCTTTATATTTTTTTTATTGTTTTTTTTTTTATTCTTACGGTTGTGCTGTTTGAGTCTGGATATTGTCTTATTGCTCGCATCTGTCAACTAGAGGTCGGAGAAGAAGACAAAGATGAGTCCATGGTGGGTGTTTCCGCCGCTTGGCTGTATTTTTACTTTTTTTGTGTCTGTTGTTTTATGGCACCCTTTGAGTGTATAGCATACATTATACGAATAAATATAAATGAATGAATAAATGATTCTATGCTTGAGATCCATCATTCATGATCAGAACGAAAAGAACAGAAAAGTTGCGTTTGTTGCCAAAAATTCGAAAAATGTGGTGGATTGCTACGCGTTCAAATTCTCGCCGAAAATCTGTCGCGAATACTCGGGAGGGGGGGGGGGGAGAGGAGGGATTTCTCTTCGTTCTCAGGCCTTGCCTTCGCGGGAGCGCTTATGGCCTTTTCCATCTATGTCAAGTCTTTTACTGCATTCTATTCTATCCATCATTTCGTCCCTACTCTCCAAATTTAAACGCTTCAACCCGACTTCAGTGCGTTCTCCAATACGTGGCCGCCCTCAGACGCACCTCCTTCCTGCGTTCCTATTTTCCGCCTGACCTATCGCACTATATCGCATCGACCGTCCATAAAGTGCGGTTTTCGGTGACTTGTTTCTCTTCGAAACTGAATCTTCTTGCGTGAAGTTTTTGTACGTTCTCTCCAGTGATCACAACTGACATATTCATGTTGAGAAAGAATGCAGGATTCTCCGTGGAAGGTTCCTTTGAACTGCTCTTCATAAAGTACAACTGCCCAGGAAACTTACAGCATGACGTCTTTTCAATGCGAGCTTCATTTTAATTGCATTTGTAACGAGATGATCCAGCGTCGACTGAAATAAAAATAATGAAATAGCAAAATTTGGAACAAAAAAAAATGAAAAAAGAAAAGGTTTTACGATGCGCATAGGAAGGTGGATTGTACTTACGTTGATGTCTTTGTGAACGTGGTCCCCTTCCCTATCGTTGCCACCGAAGAGACTCAGTATGTTGAAAAAATGATGTTCTGCTCCAGCTAACATCGCCATCAGAAACACATCGACTTTCGTAGGTAATGAAGCGCGAAGACAAAACTCGTAATCGCCTAAACTACCCAGAGAAACCTTTATTGATGTGTATTGAGAATAAGACACGAAAATTTGCCCAGGGTGTGGTTCACTAGGACAGAAAGCGACTTTTCGCGTTTCGCAGCGCGAAACATTTTCGCTGCGGGAACCTCAGGTCCACCGCTGATCATCAGTGGACCCGAGGTTCCCGCAGCGAAAATGTTTCGCGCTGCGAAACGCGTCGCTTGCTGTCCTGGTGAACCACACCCAATTACCTACGCTCAACCTCTGGCGACTACTATTTACCAAATACGCCTTCAGCCGCTGGCTCCTCCCTTTCCCTGCGTATGCTTCACGTCTTTCGCTGTGCTACACTTTCACTATAATTTCAAAACTTGGTGAAGTGAGTGGGTATGGGCGAAAAGGATGGCTTATATGTATAACCTTTTGAGCGTTTGTCACATCATAGCAACACACTGGAATGACATCTCAACTGTGATTTTGACCTGAATTTCATTATCGGTTGGTTTCCTTCCCCTCCTTTGCCTTTCTCTGCAGCATTATGTGGAATGACCGGGAATCTGCTTTATGGTGTTCTTATAGCAACTGGAAGGTGCAACCACGATCACAACATCACTACACTTCGTCGCCATGCACTGTGGGCTCTAGTACATGCGGCATCGAAGTGTAGTGATGTTGTAATCGTAGCTGGCTTATCCCAGCTCCTATTGTAAAGGATGGGCAGGGAAAATAAAGAAATCATCAATTTGTATACTCAATTTCCTAATTTCAAACGTTTCATATCGACAGGGAGCGATGGAGCGTGCCAAAGCCTGACTCATGAAATCGGTATGTCTTGTCAGCACTCAAGATTGTTTTCGTTCGGGCTTCTCCCTCGGCTTCGCTTTTTTTCAGGCGATGGAACGGAGATAGCGGTGGGACCCGAATAAAAGGCGTGGTCGGGACGATTCAAGGCTCTTGGTTCGGTCTCGACGCCCGAGGGACAGTAGGACTCGCCTGATCAACGACTCCGACTTCCCATTCCACCTACCGGCCGACCTGGGGATGCGTCATACTCCGTCGACCCCCGCCGATCGACCGATCTGATCCCCGTTGCTAATCCGGGATATTTCCCCTACTCATTACTGTGTATTGTTGCTTCGCTGAATATTGTATTATTATTCTGCGGATCTCGTTCCAGTGCTATTGATGTAATAAGGATAAATCGATTTGTGAGTTGATCAAGTTTCTTTATTTTGGGTCATGACCAGGGGCCAGCAGTTCGTGTAAAATGATCCCTCATGGGCCGGATCATTACTGGTAGCAGCGAGTGCGGTCTCCAACTGGAGCCGCGATCCCCGCTCAAAAGGGCAGGTAAGTAGTGTAGTCGTAGTTCCTCTCCTCGGAGAGATGACCGGTTCAGGCCCCGGCCGGGGAGGCCGTCGTGGATGGGATCACGAAGATGAGCCTCGGGGGGATTCCAAGGGCCCGGAACTTCCGAAAAACACTGCTCTCTTCGTCTTCCCACCACACAGCCCTTGTAGTTTGTTACCGTGTCGCTGCATTGAACAGGAAGCCTGGAACGATTGGAAAAACGGAGCTCCGTCGGAAATATACAGATCAGCACGGTAAGTGCGCACAAAATCCCCGTCGCCGCTGGGACTGGGAAATCCATACCTTGTATTCGAGTATACCCTCATATAAGGAAGACTCCAGGTAAGACCATCATCACAACATTCGCCCAAGTAACTTAGTTTCAAAAAGTTGAAGCGTAACCACAAAAGGCCACAACGGGCGGCATCCAAAGAGAATGCGCCGCGCAGGCACAAAGGGGTCCGCCACCGCAAGCCCCATGAGATGGACACGTGAGGACCAATTCACCCTTTCTTTCTTGCCACGTTTGGCATACGCATCCTTCAATCAGCGCAACTAGATGTGCCGCAACTCGCATTTCTAAACAAGCCGCTTACGCCAAGTATTTGACGATCTCGTTATACTTCTCCTCACAATCGTTACACTTAGTGAGCCCACCGACTTTTTAACTCTTCCGCATTACTACTCTATCAGCTCTATCTGGCCAAGTGCGGCAGTTTTTTCCTTAGCTCTTATGCGTTATGGTTCCTACAGTACCCCCGGTCACATTTGAACGTCACACATTCTATATAAAGTTAGTCACTCTCTCTCTATGTGTTCCCGCCTTATGCCAAAAGGGCAAAATTCAAACGTCTAGAACCATTTTCCCTCAGCTTTTTCAGCTACTGTAGAAATGTTGCGTGTGCCCTTTGCCTCGAATCCAGCTTTTTCTCGCCCTGGAATTCAAACATCACAACATCTGCCCGCTCCTATCTGGTCGTATTTTCGCTGTTCTCATAGAAAAAGCTCCGCGGTGACTGATGGACTGTGCGATAGGAACGCAGCCCACATAAATACAGGGTCGGCTAACTCAGTCTTTATTCAGACGTCAGCGCAGATCATCGCTGAAGCTTTCAACCTGCCTTCTTCAAAGTCTACTCGTCCGACAACTAGATCGCAAAGCGACTGATTCGAGGGATAATTCTTCGACACCGGAACCAAACTTACCACCGCAACAGGTAACCCTACCCGCACCCTCGGATCTGACCACGTCAGTCGAGACATCGGTCGTGACGGGCCGTGTTAGAACCATGCCCATGACGGAATCCTGATCCGTCCGTAGTTAGCGGCCTGGCCTTCGGGCAGCTCGCGCCCAAGACACTCAGAGCTTTTACTGGAGCCGATGGCCAGGACTTTGACTCCTGGTTCAGGCGCTTCGAGGATATGGTAAGGATGGTGAATCCACCGCTACCCGAGCAGCTCAAAACTAATACTCTTGTTGGATTTCTAGATGGAGAAGCCCGTGACTTGATCGACGAGATGCCGGACAGCGACAAGAACCAGTACTGCAAGATAGTCGAGCAATTACGTGGCCACTTCGAGTCTCCTCACTTCCGCAGCTTGGCTCGTCAGCAACTCAGCGACTGCAAACAAGGGCAATCGGAGTCCGCACGTGAGTTTGCAGATAGAATTAAACAAATCGTTCAAAAGGTAACGCGGGGCCAGCCTAAGGCCACTCAAAACGAACGATTGTTGGATGAATATCTCGATCGCCTAAGACCGGCTCTAAGATTTCTCGTTAAAGCAGCTAATCCACTATCTTTCGACGAGGCGGATAGTCAAGGCAATCACCTACGAATCTCTTCTAGCGGATGCAGCTAATGCCATCACCATATTTCCACCGGTGCAGGCACCAACCCCCGTAGTTCACGCCGTGCAAGCACAACGCGGAAATTTTAGAGGACCGGCGCAATATTACCAGCGCAGACCCAATTTCGCCAATCGCCAGCTGTCGGCAAGTCCACATCAAGGGAGTAATTTCAACCGCAGAGCTGCGGAACGAGCTAGTTCGGACGCAACGTGTTTTCGCTGTGGCTAAACAGGCCACATCCAAACCTTTTGCAGGTATGATTTGCCTCCGGCCAATCTCGCTCCACCCAGACCTTTCTATCGAACTGGAAACCGGCGCCCCATCAATTCGGCACTACGGCAACAACAAGGCCCTTGGAGTGGACGTCGTCCCCTAGATAATCAGAGGTGGAACAACAATAACCAGGTGCAGCTCACTAACCCATCTATTTTCAGACAGCCTGCTTCCCGTAGCCAACCGAAGGTATTCGCCCTCGAGCCAACGGACGACACCACGCCAGTGAACGATGGATCGGAGCCATTGAGCGACCAACAGAAGGATGCCCACATCGCAGCTCTCATCGAGAGGAACAGCGCGTTGGCGAACTTGGCGTTCGCAACCAGCGACCTTAATCTCCAGGATGAACCTTGTGAATGCCCTGAATGGCACAAGCAGGAATCCATCTACTTCGGTAAATTGGGCATATTCATGTGTGCTCGTGCTCGCTATATGCTCACAAATTTCGGTCACACACAAAACATGCGCATACGGTGACCTTATTACGGTAGGAACAGTCATGAAAACCCTTAATAAGCTAACTATAGAATGGCCTTCGGCACCTTTCCATTGTTGCACGGAACTACTCCTCTTCGGTGACTGATTGTATTATTTTTCAGGCGTCAATTTTCGCGTACCATGGTTCGGACGCTGTCGAAAACTCTATTGGTCCATTGGAGAACTGCTCATATCATAAGGGCGAGTGTAATATGGAGCAGCCGTTATCTGGACCCCGGACGAGCAGGAAACTTGTAAGTACATTTACGTTTCATCTATGAAAGGCACTTTGGCCGAACATGTCTGGCTTAGCGACTCGAAGGAGTTCGCCCTCTTATTTTCTCTGTCCAGCTCTCCCTCGATTGTGGTCATTCTCTCATTATCACCGATCAGGGCTATGCCATTGGGACTTTGCCCCTTCAGCGCTCGAAACGAGCCATTGGCTCCTCCATTCGCCAACAAGTCGGTCTCGCGACCACCAACCAATTGGCAGCCTCAAGCTTTTGGCAGTTGAGGACAGCATGCAGGAATCTATGAGCAATGCGTTCCACCACGCAATTTTGGCACTGTGCAAATCCGTGAACTCCATTCAGCGCTTCATTAGTGGCAGCTATTTCTGCAAATCCCTACAGTGGCTATGCGCAATATTCTACAACGCAGCGATATTGAGGCCACCTTCCTTGGAGGCAATATCGTTCGCACCTGGTCCTGTGCCTCTCTCTCCGTCTATGTATTCCCTGTCCCCTTTCAACAAGTCATGTTTTTCACTACCTTCTATCTCACTGAATCTACCTGACAAATCTACATGGAAAGCCTTCCTTGATCCATCTACAAACATTATTCACGCATTCAGCCACCAGCTATTCCTTGCTCAGAGAATTTATTCTTTGAATTTCCTTTCAACGGTTCTATTTCTCAATATTTCCCTTTTTCTAATCTCTTCCGGTCAATCCCTCACTCCACCATTACTGTGCTCGAGCATTCTTTCAACCGCCCGCAGAGCGAAATTCGCCCTGCACTCACTTTGTTTCATAATTTAGTCATCACTAATATCAGCGAATTCATTCCTGCACAGCAGTTCACGGAGTTATGGTCCGCCGTGGAAGGAACCCATAGCGCGCTCAGCGCTCACGTGGACAAAGAATCTTTTTCTAATTCGTCTCACCCTCTTGCAATTGCAGCTCCATCTCTTACCAATTACATATTCTCATCTATCCTTTCCACCATCTATAAACTTTGGGTCACCTTTATGCTGCACAATCGTTACTATCCATATCGCTTTTCGCTTACTTTTACTTTACTTTTCTTGCCAAGCTCCACCAAATCTCCTTAATCATGTCGCACGGATTCTATCGCGCAAGGGGGCGTGGACCAGGATCGACCTTCATGACGCCGCAGGGATACCGTACCCCGGCGGACGCACCAACCGAGCTGGCGCCTCTTACCACCTTCCCCTCCGTATACACTCTCTCACTCGACACGCAATCCTTCTCTACGCACATAAGGATTACCGTAAACAGGATCAACGTGTCAGCTCTGATTGACACGGGATCCAATATCACCTTGGCCGCTCAAAGTCTGTGTGCAGCCCTGGGAATTTTCAAACTTGACCCACCACTATCTGTCACCGCTATGGGCATGGCGGGCGTTCGCGTCCCAATAGCGGGATCTAAAAAGGTTTCAAATGAACATAGCTACAATGCCCCTCCAACCCGTGATCCACTTCACTAAAGGCGCATGCGTGCCGAACATAAATTCAGCATACGAAGTAATTCTCGGTAACGATGTCCTCGCACATTGCCCAAAATGACCATCGATTTTCAGAATCGAACGGTCTCCTTTGGCTCAGTGTCACTACCATTAGGTCGAATGGTCCAACCTTCTCAAAAGTGTCACCCCGCTCTTTTTTCAGTATGCGTCAGTAGCACAATCCAATTACAACCAAATACGGAAACTCTTGTACCATGCACTATACAACATCCTGGAATAGACCAGGACCTCATCCTCGTCTCTCAAGCTTCTTCTCTTTCCTCAAAGGGACCTTGCCGTAGCTCCCGCCATAGTCAGCTCTCAACAACCAACACTGTTGGTTGCTAATCCAACCAACCAACCTCAAACGTTGTATGCGGGTATGCACATCGCAAAAGCGACTATTCTTTCTAAAGAACATGCAAAAGAGGACACCGAGGAGCACGGTCGAACCCCGGTAGCGGTAACCTGCGCAACCGCAACAGACATTGTGGATCCCTCATACAGAATCGACCTCGATAAATGAGATCTCACACCTGCACAACGCGACCAATTAAGCCGCTTACTGGACAATTATGCCGATGTTTTCTCGCGACATTAATACGACATCGGTAGCTGCACCGCCGGGAAGGTCCATATCCATACCACGGACGACCCACCTGCAAAAATTCGACCGTATAGGGTCCCCGTAAAATATCGGGAGGAGATTCAAAAACATATTAACCTACTCCTAAAGGCTGGTGTCATGAAAGAGTCACAAACCCACTGGGTTCACAACCTGGTAGTGGTTCGAAAAAAGGACAACTCGTTACGCGTCTGCCTCGACATGAGACGTCCAATTAACGAGGTCACCTGAAACCCTCCCAGACCCATACCCCATACCGCGCATTGACGACGTGTTGGAGAAAATAGGGGGCAATAGCTTTTACACCACATTAGACTTAGCCAGTGGCTACCTGCAGCTACCGCTTGACGAAGAAAGCAGCTATAAATGCGGCGTAATTACTGAAAATAAGATCTATCAGATGACCCATCTCCCATTTGGCTTGAAATCAGCTGGCAGCTATTTTGCGCGCATCATGTCTAAAGTACTGGGCGGCCTAGAAGGGAACGTTTTGACCTATATCGACGACATCCTGGTGTACGATAAAGATTTCGAGAGTCATCTAACGTCTCTCGAAAAAGTCCTTTTACGCCTACGCCAATTTAATCTCAAAGCGTCACCTAAAAAATGCGTATTCGCCAGAAAACAAATCACTTTCCTGGGCCACCTCATCAATAAGGACTCCTATTCACCTGCGGAGGCTAATACGCGTTCGGTTTGCGAACTCCCCACTCCAACCAATACAAAAGAGCTTAAACGTCTTCTTGGCATGGTCGGATTTTTCTGTAAATTCATCCCAAATTTCGCGAATATCGCAGAACCCCTTACACGACTGACTCGCAAAAGCAATAAATTTCTATGGACTGTAACTCAAGAAGCTGCATTTCAGGAGCTACGCGACGCACTGATGAGGAAAATCCTGGATACCCGGACTACGACAAACCATTCCATATATTCACGGACGCTAGTACTGTCGCTCAAGCCGGAGACCTCATGCAAGAAGAACAGGTTGGTTCCAACAAATTTTATGCTATCGCCTATTGCAGCCGTACTCTTACCAGAGACGGAACGTCGTTGGCCCGCTGTCCAAATAGAGCTAGGCGCCATCATTTACGCCCTCAGGCAGTTCAAACCGTATATTTGTATGGCGCAGGTCACCCTGCATAGCGACCACAAACCCCTCACGTTTCTCCTCAATAAAAGTAAGACCCACGACAACTTAGCAACGATGGCTCATAGAACTACAAAGCTATAACATCAAGGTAGTTCATATTCAAGGGCACAAAAAATACGGTAGCTGACGCTTTATCCCGTGTTTATGAAGACCAGGGCTCAGTAGCTGCACCAGAGCAAGAATTGCAGGATATTATAGACTTCCCTGTCAGTTTACAGGTCATTACTAACAAAACGGCGCCCCTCGCACCCGTGAGATCTACCCGCACCTACATCCGCGATTGCCCGGAACTCATCGACTTCCCACAGGAGCAGCAACAGGATGGTTTCCTCCGCGTGGTATGGCTCCTCGCGTCGGACCAACCCTTACAGAGCACTGTCACCGATGAAGTACGGGCCAGAGCGCAATCCGTAGCAGATCGCGTACACATAACTCCAGACGGATGTATGTATTACAGGTTGACCAAGGCTAGCAATGACAAACCCCTTCTACTGGTGCCACAAAAATTTCAGAGCCTTCTTTTTAGCGCCCATCATAGCAGTGCACTCGGCGGACACACCGGCTGGAAGAAAGACCCTTGCCAAAGATACTGCGCAAATACTACTGGCCCACTATATACTCCGACGTGCGCAAGTGGTGTGAGGAATGCCTCACCTGTCAGATGAAACGCAATCCCAAACCTACTTTTTGCGAGCGCCTAATACCAGTCCATAGCGACACCGTTTTCGCAAAAGTCGGTTTGGACCTTTGCGGTCCCCTCAAGCCCACAGAACGCGTAATAAGTACATCCTCAATGTGGTCTGCTGGTTTACCCGCTACGTCATCTCCACACCATTACCTGATGCGCGCGTCAACACCATCGCGCACGCTCTCTTCACAGAGGTCATCTTGAAATATGGCACCATGACGGAGTTGGTGTCAGACCTAGGCATCAAGTTTCACATCGCACTTCTATCAGGAGTTTTGCAACCTCCTCCATATACAGCACAGATTCGCGACTCCCTACCACTCCATGGGTAACGGCGCGACAGAACGCACGTTCGGAACCTTCAATCCATGTTATCCAAATTTATCAATCTGAAACAGGAGGATTGGGATTTATTCATACCCTGCGTGGCCTTTTGTTACAATACGTCGATCCACGAAGCCACAGGTGAGTCACCCTTTTTCCTAATGTTTGGTAGGGATCCCGTATTTACAATAGACCGTATACTGTTGCCGCAATCGCGCCCGCAAATACCGGTCCCGCGGAAACTGACGAGTACAAGGCACAGCTCGTCTCCGCTCTTCATTTGGCTTGGCATCAAGCCGCCGATCACGCGCGTTCCTATAAACAATCGATGAGTGCGCAGTACGACAAGACTGCACGCCCATCGGCAATCAAAGAGGGGGATCGCGTCTTTTTCCGCAATTACACCAACAAACAGGGACTTGCGCGAAAACTCTGTTTCCATGGATCGGTCAATTCCGTATCTCAAAATAGATCATCCACATGCAGTCATTGTCAGCATTACTGCACCCCAGTCCAAGCCACGGCGCGTCCACCTCAACCAGATCAAAAAGGTCATTGACCACTCGGGACCGGCGTCCACTCTGGACACCGTACCAGGAAGAGGAAGATACAAATAACCTTCCCAAAAGCGATTTGGCTGGGCATAACCATTCCGTAACCCCCGTTGAGCCTCCTCAAGAGCTCGAACGCTTGACACCTGACCCACCACTCAGATACAATTTACGGCCAAGAAATCGCAGTACGCATCCAGACATATAATGAATTTTCTTTCAGGTTTCTCTACAACGTTCGGACGCCCAACGACGAATACTACCCACTTCAGATTCACTAACTACACCCCGATCCCGCTACTAACCCATTGGTTCGATTCCGAATATCCTATTCTATCCTTTCAACCTTCAGCTCATTGTTTAACCACCGTCTCCATTTTTCATTCACGCTCCCGTATACCGTCTTTCATTTGCCGGTTTTCTTTGTGTTCGTGGCGCATATCACATAGCAGTCGCCGCTTACCGCATACCTACAGTAACAGCTTTCAGGTAAAATGTCCGGTGTTTCGGGCGAAGACAAACCCGTAATCAATTTCGACGAAGCTAGCGAGGAACAGAGCGTTGCCTCATCGAAGGAACCCTCGCTCATACCATCTCCGGGTGCACCTAGTACCTCTCGTGGTAATAGTTTGCAAACTCATTTCCACCTTCGTTATTAATCATTTTCACTCCGCTTCCTTCCCATCATATTACACCTCCCTATTTCAGCTAAGTCGCCTCCCCTGAGCAGTCCCTCATGGACACGCTCATGGACGAACTGCCGCTCGAGGAAGCATTCCAGCTCCTGGAGGCGAACCCGGTGACAACGATAGTCACATGGTCGTTTCGTATGAGGACTCGTCACTTACTAATGAGCCCATTGCCTCTTCGGAGGGATCGGCGACAAATACAATTTTACGAGCCTCAACCAGCTCAGCTGAAAATGTTAGGGACGCACCCAGTCCTAAAAGGTCTAAACTTGAACTAGAGCCACATGTTTTAGACCAGGTCGACTCCATAACGCAGTATGGGCAACAACAAGTGTCCCAAGAGCCACTTATAGGGGACGAACCCACCTCAGGCGAACTCGCGATGAGGCCCCTGCCAATACCGCTGGAAAATGCGGAGCCACGTTACAGGATGGAGCGCTTCACTAATCATCCGTGGCAAAGCCTTTTGGAGCCCAAAATCACTCCAAAAATTTCGTCGCATTACGATCCGGAACTTCCGGCCTCCAAATTTGAGCGCATCACAGCTGCAGGGTACAGCGGGTTGTCACCTTTTGTGCCGCACAGCGGCGTCTTAACATCCAGGGGTCGGCCATGCTCCATTTTGGAGGCAGTCGGACCGCGCGCAATTGAAAGCTTCCGCGACCGCCATTCGTATCTGGAATTGTTTCAGAATGCGCTTGGAGGGAGCCGAATTTCCTGAGCGCCCAAAGGCTGATCCGGCTCTGCCGCACGAAATGCTGCGCTATATTAAAGGCTTGCGTCTCCACGAGGGCATACATCCAGTGCTGTACCGTGTAAAATCGCTTTTTGGCCAAGGAGCCCGCTTGGAGTCCGTCCACATGGAGGTTCCATTACCGGACCGTATTGATCTCCATACGATCACATTAGATCAATTCGCGGTCAACGTTCTCACGGAGAAACGCCACGTGGATATTTTCCATCTCCTGATCGGGATTTGGTCTGGGTTTACTCCTTGACCCCATCCAAAAAATTCCTTAAGGAGGGTGTTCCATACCCGGAAACAATCGAGCAAGCGTGCACCATCGTAAACCGACGATATGGCGCGTTCATCGTTTCGGTCTTATCTATCGGGACCTCAAGGAAACGCTAGGTTACGTAATTACCATCGCGTCAAAAGCGTACCAAACCTTTCAGGTATGCATGAAGGGTCACCGCACCGTGGTGACGGTTAATAGAAACCGTCTGAATTCCGACGTAGACCACAAATCTACAGCCGAATTCGTTCATCACGGCGCCTTTTCGCCCGCGTCAGCTGGACTACATGCTATTCGCCTGCGAACCGACACCGATCGCGTTCAATCACCTACGCGAATTCCTGGCGGACGTACAGTATTTCCCCAGCGCACCGCCCGCACCATTCGGCATACGACCCACGTCGGCGCACCACCAAAACTTGGTCCACAGTAAGCTGACCAATTTTCAGCTGTTCCATTCGTGCCCAAGAGAGGTCATGCCTTTTGGAGTCCTTGTACGGTACAACAGTGGGCACTATAACCGCCTGCATAGCGGAAACGATGGACACCAAACTCCATCCCGCGTTATGGTCCACCCCGGACATAAACGCGTACCCCACGCTAGCGCAGTTCCAAGTCCCCATCCAGGGAAAAACGGGTTGGACCGTGGCCAATACGTGGAAGGTGCGTATCAGACGGACATCATCCGGGCCCGCATCACGCGCATCACGCAGGAGGATGAGCAGATCACTGTTGTGCTCAGGTGCATCCGCGCGACACCCCGCGGTTCCGCATTTATATTACGCGTGCATGGCACAACCGTATCTCGGCAGGCACATACCTTCGGGGCGGTATGGAGGACCGATCCAATCCAGTCCTCACCCTGCTGGAGGGAACGTCCGTGTCCCGCCTTTTTACACCTCAGTCTCGAGCATGGTCCGCTGCTCGAGCGATCCTGGCTGGAGATTCCGACCTCTCTGGGCGTTCCACGAACCAGAGAAAGTCCATCACGGCCACCGTAGCCGGTGACAAAGTGGAACTCAACAATCATCAGGTGAATGCCTTGAATAAGTTCCACAAGGACTACCCAGTTCTTATCATCGACAACGCATACGGAGCCGCTAAGTGCCTCTATACAGCACTCATGGCCATCGAAGCCGTACAGCGCGGGAAGGTTGTCCTAATAGCGGCCGTACAAAATACGGCCCTGGACGTTATTTGCGCAAAACTTGCTCAAATGGAGACACCAGGTGTACGTCCAGTACGATACGTAAGTGAGACCCTGGCCCGGGATGCTATCCGCTCCGGCCCGTACGACCTGGCCAGTCTGATGGAACATATGCCGCAGACCCACGCCGAGACAATGGACGACTATGAGAAGAACGCTTTCAGCGCTTTCGCAGACCCCCGCCGACGTCTGCGCGAATTCATCTTCACCGGCGTGGAGCGCAATCTCATGGCATCGGAGCACAAGACGCTCCTTTTCCTCGAACAGGCCAATTCGGAGCGCATCAAAACGCTCACGACGAGGTTTCTCAAGATTTATGAGCCGAACATATTCCTATGTACCATCTCATCGGCCATAAATCTCACGACCAAAAATGGGCTATGGCGTCGCCCCTCCCGCAAATGGAGCACTGTCCTCTTGGACGAGGCTTCGATGATTCCGGAAGCCACCCTAATTGGTCTTTTCTCAAGGTTTCCGGACGCCACATATACCCTCGTCGGTGACAGTAACCAGTTGCCACCCTACATCGGCACACAAAGGGCACCGCTCGCGGTCACCCTTTGCTCACGATCCGTCCTGGACGTAGCTCGGCGCGTCGGCAATCCCCCAACGTGCAAGATCAGCACCGTGTATAGGCCGCATCCGAACATGATGGAGCTCAACTCGCGCATCTTCTACAACGGCGAGTTGGTCTGCGGCACTACCAAAGAGGCCCGCCTCGCGCTTCTCAACCGGGTCTGGATGCTCAACCCGGACCTTCCGATCGCTTTTATAATATCATCGGCGAATCGGTACAGTCGGTGACGGGATCCCAGAGCAACCCCGTCGAAGCTCGCCAGTTGCCGCCATCGTTCGACTCCTTTTAGCCTCCTCCATCTCCGCGGACGACATCATGGTCATCTGCCTCTACCGCGATCAACTTTACCTAGTTGAATCCGCACTAAAAGGGTCCAACGTCGCGGTCAAAACCGTGGACAGCGCGCAAGGTTCAGAAAAATCTGTCGTCATCGTGTGCACAACGCGCACCCACATCAACCCTAAGCGCAATCTCTCCTTCTTTGCGGATCCCAAGCGCCTTCAACGTCGCCCTCTCCAGGGCTCGCGACGGTATGTTCGTCTTGGGTTCGGTTGTACATCTCGAGGTCCGTTTGCTGTGGAGGGACATAAATCGCTGGTGCCGGGAACACCACGTACTCACGTACCTGGAAAGCTTTCCGCGAGCGCACAGCTTCCTTCCAAAAGAAAGTGAAGTCCGAGGTCGGACTTTTGTAAAAGGGGGAGATGTAAAGGATGGGCAGGGAAAATAAAGAAATCATTAATCTGTATACTCAATTTCCTAATTTCAAATGTTTCAGATCGACAGGGAGCGATGGAGCGTGCCAAAGCCTGACTCATGAAATCGGTATGTCTTGTCAGCACTCAAGATTGTTTTTGTTCGGGCTTCTCCCTCGGCTTCGCTTTTTTCAGGCGATGGAACGGAGATAGCGGTGGGACCCGAATAAAAGCCGTGGTCGGGACGATTCAAGGCTCTTGGTTCGGTCTCGACGCCCGAGGACAGTAGGACTCGCCTGATCAACGACTCCGACTTCCCATTCCACCTACCGGCCGACCTGGGGATGCGCCATGCCCCCGTCGACCCCCGTCGATCGACCGATCTGATCCCCGTTGCTAATCCGGGATATTTCCCCTACTCATTACTGTGTATTGTTGCTTCGCTGAATATTGTATTATTATTCTGCGGATCTCGTTCCAGTGCTATTGATGTAATAAGGATAAATCGATTTGTGAGTTAATCAGTGTCTCTTTATTTTGGGTCATGACCAGGGGCCAGCAGTTTGTGTAAAATGATCCTCATGGGCCGGATCCTCTATATCGCAGTCCTCTAGAGCCGTATGCACGAGTACCGGGATTAGCGTGGATCACCGAAACCGCGGTTTTCTCAACACATCCTGATATGCATGTATTAGGTGTTTTAAAAAAAATTCTGTCGCTTCTCGGCTCCAAACTTTAAATGCAAGTGTCTCGTCTTAAACCAAACCTTTCAAGTTGAAATAAAAAACGTTCGAAATGCGCGTTTGCTATAAGAAGCCGTTTCACAGGGTACGTTTGTTTGGAATGCTGGACCTCTGGAGGCGATGAACTGAGGGAAGGTCGTTTTAGCATCATGTTGGGTTTTGATGCATTTCTCTTCAAGGAAGCTATCGAGATCCTCGAAAAAGTGATAGCTGATAAATCAGGGGTCTAGGGAGCATCACTCCATAGCCCACCTGATCCAGTTTGTACAGGGTTGGCGGTGCAATATGCGTACGATACTCATTTCAGGGATGTTTATAATGAGGGATGCTGGTCTAGGGCCTTGAAGTTTTCGGTGAATTTAGACGTAATATTCAGAGTGCTCTCCACTGTAACAGTTCCACCTGATACTGAAGAACATGGCCGCTGACCTCATGAAAGTTGCCACAACCCTCCTTCAGCACAGTTTAAATTCTGCAAAGTTTGTAGAGCTTGATCGCCGTCGATCTATTCAGCAAAGCTTCGTGGACTATAGAGAAAGAATCCGCTCTTATTGTACGTCGCAAATCTGTAGAGAAACGAGTCGCATCACATAAAACAAGCGACAATTTGATGGACGACCCTTCAAATTGGTGATTTGTCGCGGCACGCCCCTATCAAATTTTTTGGACTTTCCAGCTCTTCCGTATAGCTTGGCTGTACAAACCATATACGCCCAGGTTGGGCAGAACCTCAATGGTCTTACGCAGGAGTACTTCAATGCTGAACTTTTGGTTAATTGTTGGCAAAGTCCGATATCCGTCCACCACCCAAGCTTCTCGCTTTCGCTACAATAGCTTTTTGAACAAATGCCTAAGAAAGCGAATCTGAGCCAAGCGCATCGTTAACATGTTGACCTGCCCCAGCTACTTCAGGTCTATTCAAGTAGAAAAAGAAAGTCATGCCAACTTGCTCATCGAGTATACCGCATTCAAAGCTTTGAAAAAGCTATAAGAAAATGTTTTAGGACAAAGTTGAGCTAAGCATTGGATAGAGCTGGAAAAGCTCTTCAAAATGATATCCATACCGATTGCAGTTTTTCTGGATTTCAAGGGAAATAAAGCATTCAAAAGTGGAGTGCCTGAAAACGACAGAACTTTTCGAAAGACCTAAACTATTGACCGTGAGGATTAGGCAGGAACGGAGAATTTCGGGAACTTTTCCCTGGCTGGGTACTGCTGCATTGGGCCCGATGATATGAGGAAGGATTTTCGTCATACCGACAAATGGACCGATCGTGAAAAAAAGAGAAATCCGATAATTACCCGCGAGATGGAGTCCTTGATCATCAATACATCTTAGAATGGGTTGTTTGGGTGAAGGTATCCTTATAATACGACATTGCAGTATCATATAGTACAGGCGTTTCGCACGAAAACCACGTTGTTAATGAAAATCGAATGACATACATGACCAATCACAACTTCAGTAATCTCAATGGAAACAGTGACACAGTGATTCCGGCAGAGGGCCAATCTTATGGTTAGTTTTGGAGCCTAACTGCGTTGTTTTAGTGCAAATTTTTGGCGGAAACTCAAATTCCCTTCATTTGTTGACTAGCTGAAGTTTCATTGGTGAAAATACTTTCCTGGTGCACATATTTAAGAATTGAGTACCATTCTACGGTTTTGTATGATACCGTGAAATTGTACACTGTGTTGAAGAACTCTACTGGATAAATCATTGAAGTTAAATGTAATACAAATAATACTTTGTTTACTGGATGGGTATGTCGTAATTGTAGAGTTACTGTGCGCATCGCGTTTCCTCAAAACCAAGAGCATCTATAGCAGGGTGAATTATGCCGTTGAGGATTCCTCAACGGCACGTCGAGGATTTTCGCCTGATCCTTTACGTTCTCGCGCGCGGATATTCACTCTCGCCACCTGCAAGCCGTCTCCGCGCGTACATTCGCTATCGGCTCTACCCTCGCCAGCAGTTTTGAGTGTTGAGGTCGAGCGGTGGTCGAAGAATTCCTTAACCTTTATTGACCCTGATCTATAGGCAGTACTAAGTGTTTTTGTTTGTTTTTAGGTCATCGTCACGTGGACAGCCGATTCTACGGCTATGACATGTCTGACCGCAGGAAACAACATGTTTTTATCTATACATATCGCTTAGCACAGGCTCCTCACTAAGGGAATTTTGGTCTTCTAAAGAAGCATCTGGAACCGGTAGCCGTTTTTCTCTTGATCTTTTCGAGTGAGGAACGTACGACTGATGACGATGCGCAGAGGACATGCGCCAGGGTCAAGCGAGGCGGCGATGAAAATTTTGAAGTACGACCCCGCCCTGTCCACCTGTTCAACAACCGCTCGACCCTGACACGAACTGTAGTGAAAACTAACGGTTTCGCGTCGCTCTGATGCGTATTCAGACACAAATCTGTAATACCTTCCATATGTGTTAACATTGCCACGAACAGGTTCCCCATCAGGTGGACGTCGTAGTGTCGACTAAACGTGAGCGGAGCGAGCCTGGAGAATTCACATCGAAAGAGCGCCGTGTGGGCAACTCTTTTTGCCTATCTGTGACAATCGTCGCAAGCAGTTGGCCACTCAGCTTTAATCACTACTCAAGCTTTGCTTGATTTTGAATGAATTTCCCTTCGAGCTTCCTGGTTTCGAGACTAAAACGCTCATACTGAACGAGGTGGACATCCCTTCGTGCCAAACGAGCATGGTGCTGATGCGCAGGAAATCGAGCCATCTTTGGGTATAAAGTACTCGTATCCCAGACTTGAACTCATTTCTCAGTGGTATAGAAATTTGTGACGGTGGGTTAACTGACCTTCTTCTGAGGTGTTGTGTCGTAACACGAGTTCGGTATCACTGCCCCCTTCTGTGAGAGAAAAACGCCCAGATGGTGACCTCAAGCGTGATTGAACCATTGCGTTAGTTGTCTGGAATATTTTATCACATAGCGTCAAATTAACATACACAAGTTTTTGATAGGAAATGTTAATAGATCTCAAGTGTTTCGCGTATGGTTTGAGCTGTTTCATAACTTGTCTGTGTCATTGTCTGAGCCTTGCATGTTCCTCGTTCTCTATCGGTCCACGTAGGCGCTACGTTACAAGATAGGTATTCAGTAATGCTCAAAAATCCAATCCTCTACAAAGCAACTCTTGCGAAAAGCTGACATTGATAGAATGTGAAAATAGATGTGGCAAAAGGGGCGTCTCCGTCAGGGTCAACCGTCCGTTCGAACTGTTCGAACGAAGGGGTCGCATTTTGGTCGGAAGGGGGTCGCAATTTCGAGGACTGCCAGCCACAGGCGCGTGCGTGGCGTATCCGAGGGCAAGAATTGTTTGTGCAGACCGCATTAGATTCGATTATTATGCACAGAGAGACAGTTTTAGGCAAATTACGGTGTTTTCCTTGAGGAATAAAGAACAGTTGAATGCATCCCTATGAAAGGTTTGACTTCTCGGGGCTGAAATTAAAGTTCTTCGGGACCTAATTTTCTGAGGACGATTCTTCCAGACAACGGTAAACACATAAGAAAGCAGAAATCTCGTAGTCTTCAAAAATGTCTTCGCCCCTCCCCAACAAGTTCTTTGAAGGAAGTTATTATTGCTGAAAGCTCAAAAACTCGCATGTGCTGCTCAAAAACCTATGGGAACAAAATGTTCGAACGTGTGATTTTCTCGAAAAATGAACTTTGAAAAACGGTTTGGTGCTTGTTAGAAAGAGCAAATCCTGTACTTTCACCCCATGAAAAAAGTGCATCACAGAAATGAAAATGAAGTG